AGATTCTGTTGTGCTCTTGTTATTGTAAGTGTTGGTATTGTTGGTATTGTTGTTGTTGTGGTTATCTGATTCTACGGTGTCGTTTTCGTTATCCGTGTTGCCTTTGGTTGGGTCGTTATAGTTGGTGAGAATTTCGTTGATGAAGGTGTTGTAGATGGTTTGTTCGTTATCTTCTACATCTTCTTCATTGTCGTATGTGATGTTAGGAGTCTGTGTGTCGGTGTCGCCGTCGGTGATTGTGTTGGTGTTTATGTTTTCATTGTTCGGGTTGTTATTGTTGTTGTTGTCGTTGTTGGGTTTTGGTGAGATCTTTGTGTATTGCTCTGCGATGGCTTTGAAATGTTTTTTAAGTTTTTGGTAATTGTATCCTCTTTGCTTGAGTTTGTTGATAAGTTTGAAGCTACTTTCTTTGAAGTCAATGAATAGTGATGAAATGGATGCGTAGCGTTTGATTTGTGATGTAGCTCCTGTTCTATACGCTTCTATGCAAGTCTGTTCATATTAATGTACATTTATGTATTGCTTACTCCCTTTCTTTCTCTCACTCTCTCTCTCTCTTTTGTAGTTTAAATATGCATATGTGCGTGTATGTATTCGTGTGTGTGTGTATGTGTGGAGTGTGTGTGTGTGTGTGGAGTGTGTGTGTGTTTGTGTGCGTGTGGTGTGTGTGTGTGTATGCGTGCATGTGTGTGTATATGTAATGAAAAACAATGGTAAATAGTAAGAAATGCATAGTCAAAGGTCGTAAAACTTACATTTTGCATCTAAACCCAAATGAAAAAAATATTTTTTTTTCCCAAGCTGCCGACGATCCAGTGAGAAGAGTCACCCTTAAGGACACCGACGATAATATTCCTAATGCAAATCAAACCTGGACATTCAAAGAAGCTGGAGGGACTGCCCCGGACCCCAACATCCACATCTACACAGAGCCCTACGCTGGGATGACCACGAAGCCCACAAATTTCGTCGAAAGAGCTAGTGGATCGATTTGGAAATTGTGGGCCGTTATTGTCTGCTGTTTTGGGGCCCTGAAAATATTTTAGAAGTTTATTTTTATATAAGGATTATATCGTGATGTGAATAAAGTTAGGGTGTAGTGTGGTCTTCAGATGTTGAAATTTTGGATATCTTTTGTTTTGTTTTTTTTTGTGTTGACTTTTTTTATCTGTATGCCAATTGCCTAGCTTTATAACATTTTTTTTTCTTCCTGATTGGGTAAGTGGTCCGTTGTGGCCCTCTGGCCAGTTGGGATAAATAAATAAAAAATAAAAAAAAATAAAATTAATTGGCTAAAAGATTTCCTTCATATTTTTCAAATTTTTTTGACAAATTTTGTTTTTTTTACGAAGTTGAAGATTTTATTGGGATATTTAAACAATGATATATCGAATATAAAATTAGTTTAAAATTATATAATCCAAAAATAATTTACATTTTAAATAAAAATTCGTGCAAACATTTGTATTATAAATAAGTCCTGAATTTTTATATTTAAGAAATTTCAGTTTAACATTAATAAAAATTTTAATTGATGTCACTTCAGCAGTAGTTGAGTGGGTTATCAATTATTAAAACTTCCATTGATAACGAAATACAAAAGGTTAATATAACAATAGAACCTTGTTAAATTTCTTTCGTTTTAAATGTCAGTAATATATATGACTATATTTCAAAAATGACGTATATAAATTTTATTTTAATGTATTTACTTGATAAATTAGTTAAAATTTTAATAATAAGTTAATTTTTTGAAATAAACTGTTAATAAATAAGTGAACTGTTATGAAGAAACAACTAATAACTTTATAATTTGTTTACATTACCTCTATGCTGTGTGTCTGTGTGAGAATTCGTGTGGGTTGTGTGGGTGTATGTGTGTCCCTTTTACTGTCTTTGTGTGTGTGTGTGTCCCTTTTGTTGTGTGTGTGTGAGCATGTATAAGTGTGTGTGATGTATGTGTATATGTGCGCGCGCGCATATGTGTGTGTTTGTGTGTGCGCGAAAACAGAGAGATATAAGGATTCGTTTTTTCTATGGTCATTTGTTTGTCTGATTGATTGAGAGGATTTGTGTGTGTTCCATTGTATGTGTATGCACGTGTGTGTATGTGAGAGAGCGAGTGTGAGAAAAAAAGAGAGAGAAAGAGAGACATAGAAGAAGAGAGAGAAAGAGAGAGAAAGATCAAGAACTGTTGACTGATGATATTTAACTTAGTAATAAAAATGTGAACAACATTATTATTCTTATTGTCATTATAGCGATCAATTGCTACATTTTTTATGCCATAATTATATTATTATTATGCCATAATTATATTATTATTATTATGCCATAAATATTTTATTACTTTTCCTTTCTGCTCAGGTAATATTATGTGTAGTGATTTGATGAGGTCAATAATGAATTACTTTGCCTAATCTAGAAGGACCTCTTCTCTTTTAAGATAAAACTATTCATAATAACAAGTAATAACAAAAATAATTATTTAATTATATTAAAACAACATAAATAATAACAATTATTGGTTTTATAATTAATGATAGAGCCTAATATAAAAGCCTCGAGCCGAGCAAAGTTTCTTTCAGGTATAAACCAGCGTAACCAAACATAATGCCATCATCGTCGTCTTCATCTTCATCTGACGATGAACAGTTTGTATTATATTAAATTATAATATTAATGGTAATTGATTATCGTAACCTAATTATAACGAATTATACCATACACACACACACACACACATTGTATTTGATACGCGAGAATCTCTTGCGTTTGAGACCTGACACTAAAAAACAACATTTATAACACGCAATCGGCCCAACACCAATAGCACTAATTTTTTTCACCAAAAAAAATAGGACGAAGAAGCGGTTCCAGATAGTGTGCAGATCCAGTCAGCACGTTTTAGACATTGAAGGTAACAAAAAAACTGAAAACGTTGGCGTCATTTTATACGAATCCAAGAGAAGACACAACAGAAATCAGCTTTGGTACGTTGATAAAGACGGCTACATTCGGAGTTATCTCTCCAGGTTGACTCTGTATGCTGATGGTAAAGACGATTTTTTTAAATTTACTTTAACACTATCGAAAATGTTTTAGGGGGGGGGGAGTTTCAAGTTATAGATTCAATTAGTTGATCAATTAGTTAATTAGGATTACTGCTACTTATAAATTAATAGGTAATTAATTAAGTAAATAACAGTTCTAGTAACTTCAATGTAGATACACATCAGCCGTTGAAAACTTCGAAAAAGTTTGACGATCCCAGGGGTCAATGGTCAATACAAGGGAGCTACATCGTCAACAAGAAAGGTCCTTTTAATTAATTACATTTACTAAATAATAATTATAACGTTATTATTCATAATTATTCATATTTAACTAGTTGAAGTCATTAATTATAGTTTTATATCATATCCCATCGTACTATTATATCAGGATGGTATCTTGATACCATGAAGAAGAGTACAGCCAAAGGCGCCGAGCTAAGTTGCAGCGGGTACGATGGAGGTTTCAGCCAACAGTGGGAAATAAAATACGTCTGATAGCAATATAAATAACTATATCATTTATAATAATTAACAATCATAGTAATATAATTATGGTTAATCTTTACTGGTTTGATAAATAAACGAATTGTGAATTGCGAATGTTTAATAACTTATAATATTTGTTGTTCTACAATTGACGAATTACATTGTGAATTTTGATTGCTCAAATTCATTTGAAATTGTGAATTCAAGAAATAAAAATACAAATATGAAACATCTTTCAGGTATTTTGTCGTTTTGTGTGTTTTAAAACTTTATTAAATTAAAACATAAAATGAATTAAAAGCAGTTATGAACAAGAAAATGATTATAAATTTTGTGTGTGCGTGCGTGTGTGTGTGTGTGTGGTGTGTGTTTATAAACAAACTATAATGAAGCTTCTTATAAATCGTTTTTTTAATAAACCATTATAAACAAAATCGTAATCATGAATTGTTAAACAGTTTTTTAATAACATTTCAGTTACAAAAATAAGTGTGATGATTGATTATCAAGTGCCACTGCCGTTATAAAATTCAACTTCAAGCTGTCAAAAATTTATAAAAAAAAATATATTTTTGGTTACAAAATTTAAGGAAATAATACAATTAAAAGCTATTTTTAACCTATTTTTATTTTTGTTTCACAAAATTTCAACAAAACAATTGTCCAAACATTTGAGTTTCAAAAAAAATTTTCACAGATCACACATTATAAAATTTTGATATAATTTTTTAGTACACATCTAAGTTGAAGACTCGTTAAATCTATGTAAAATGAATCAAAACGCAAAAAGCAGATTATTAAAGTAATAGAGTAAAACATCAAAAAAAAGCTAATAACGATCAGATGATGAAGCAACAATATGCATGTAAGATCTAATTAACAGAAGTTAACAATTATTAATTAATATTGATATATTAATAACAATTAATACTAATTATAATTAGAGGCAATTAATTTCAATAGCTCAATGGAGGAAAAGTTTCTACGGTACAACTAAACACGTACGGCACGACGCGTGTTATATAGAAAATATAAAAAAATTGTCATGAATGTTGAAACGCACCGAACGTAAAAGACAATATTTTAAAAAATATGGCGCCAAATGATGCGGAATAATCATGGCGGTCTTAATTGTTTTCGATTTTCCAGAGCTGGTTGCTATGCCCTTTGAAGTCGTAAGCGCAAAGTTCTGCCCCGTCAAAGCATTTGCCCCCGCGGATGTCCAGACAGCTGCCCTCCCCATTCACGATTTTCTTACCATCGACACGCCATTTTTTCTTGGGGTCCTCGCTGAAAGGAACCATATGCAAAGATGAACCCTTATCTGATTGGTTGGTAATTAGTTAGTTAGTTGGTTGGTCGGTTGGTTGGCTGATTGGTTGAATGGTTGGCTGATTGGTTGGTTGGTTTCGGTGGTTGGTTGGTTTTAGCAAATTTTGATTCATAAGTTGATTGGTTTGTGAATTTTTTTCAATTATGGACATATTGATTCCATAGTATACGAGATGAAAATATATTTGAAAAATAAGCCGATCAAACGTGAGAGAGTTTCAAGCGTACTTTCACATCAATTGAAAGATTTAAAAAGCACTCCACCTTTGGCGTAGAAAACGAAACCATTGAAAGCTGATCTGATGCAGCCCTGCTGATCCAGGTACCAGAGTTGGTTCTTCTTGCGGTGGGGCTTGTACATGACGACCATGGCCCCTTCCCTGGCGTCTTCACCCTTTATGTCCAACACTTTATCATCCATCTCTGACTTAATCACAAACTCTCGTTTGACGCTGATTTGATTTGAAGTGCATTGAAGATGGTCAGTTTCATGATAAAATGAACTTTCTTGCCATAGTTTTATCATTCGATATGTCTAAAAATCAATCTAAAATTTGTCTCTTGAGTCTAGAAAACGTCCATCAATGAAAAAAAATCTCAGTGGAAATATTTACCAAATAAATAATTTCACTTTACAACGCAGTAACATGTAAGGTACGAACTAACTTTGACACGTCCATATTTGGGAGGGGCACACACCCGCCAGGCACACACCCACCAGCGGGCGGATACGAAGGTTGTTGTGGGTTGTAGGGCTGTTGCGGATTGTAGGGGGGCATTTGGGGATTGTAACCCGGATAGGGTTGCTGGTATTGCTGGCCTGTGAGATTTTTTAAAGATACTCGTCGAAATGTCAATTAACTTAGATATAAATGATATAAATACTTAGAGAATTTGATACTTTCACCAGAGAATAAAAATTCGATAAACCTTGGGGCATAGGGGCCATTCCCTCGTGACTCTCAAACATCCACATTTGATCGGGCTGGCCGGTGAAATTTTCACTGACAACTTTGGAACCTCTCTCTTTGCTCTGACCTGTGTGAAACAGCGTTTGAAAATGTACAATTCACATACAAGCACACACACACACACATACACATTCATTACATGGTAGTTGTATAATAGTAAGAGACATTTAGCAGATGACTACAACGCTAAACTATACGTCTGACGCAATAATAATTCATTATTATTATTATTATTATTAACCAGGTAGGCCAAGAGTAGCCGAGGCAATCATCATATTCCTTATAAATCCGTTCTCATACCTCCACTTCTGGTAGGGACTGTTCGGATTCAGTGGATTGATGACGCAGTACTTGTGCCCTGTTGTGCAATAATGAAAAATAAATTTCCCACCATTCTTCGTGTTTTCAGAGATAAATCAACGTTACTTATCTCAAAATGCTGCTTATTCAAAATCGTAAACTTTATATTTTTGTATATTCTAAAAGATATCTCTCTATATTTATCCACGGATAAATAGTAGGTAGATAGACTGTGATAGACGGCTGTCTATCACAGTCTATCTACCTACTTCTTCATCAATCAATTTGTATCTATTGATAAATCTATTTGCTATACCTTCACTGTACTCCAAAGCAAAATCGTTCAACTTTGTCCTGATAGCGGAATTGACGGCATCGAAATACCAAATCTGATTCGGAGAAGCATTCCTATCCCAAACGCAAACGGCGGTCCCGGGACTCGTCCCAGCTCCCTCTACATCCAGATACAATCCGCTGTGCTGGCTTCTTAACAACCCGTATTGAAACTAAATGATGATTCAGAGTGACTATTAACACATGAGTGTGTGCATGCACGCATGAGTTTGTGCGAATAGTGATTTAGATGGAACATGTTTTATAGTACCCCCACGTAAATCTAGCTGATGGTGTTTTAACTAATCATGATCTACAGTGAGTTCTTGATACATAGACGTGTATATAAACTATACTGATGTTGATATGGAAAGAGTATTATATTAAAACACATGTGAACATATTTAAATAATCAAACCAACAACAATTACAATTACAAACAGCAACAAATACGATTTTGCTTGAAACAATAATTTTAAACAGGAAAAAAGGATTGACATCAAAAGAAAAGCAATCAACTCTTACTAACTGGATTCATGGCGACTGATTTCTGAAAGGAAATTTTCAAATAATTAAATTAAAAATCAACAAAATATTAATTTAATTATTATCAATGAAAAATTTAAAAACCAAGCTACCTGCCAACAATACCAATTAGATCTCTTGCTCTCTCCTACTTACACCTTATAAATTTAAATTATACAGTTATGAAATCACTCACCTATACTATATCTAAAGGTATGCAGGCACGTGTGCGTGTATGTACGTGAGAGTGAGTGTGCGTGTCTATGTATGTACGTGCTATACAATCATATCCAAACACACTGCGAAATACACTGCAATACAAACAACCAAATTTCCTCAGTGTATTTATTTAAGGACAGCACATACATACATGCATACATTCATACATACATTCATACATACATACATACATACATACATACAAACACATATGTATGTACTTATATATATGTCTATATATATATATACATAAATAACATATAAGATGCAAGCCAAGTATTGTCAGAGCATAAGCTTTGGGTTTAGTAACAATATGATGCTGTTTTTGGTAGGTAAACATGAGTAATATTATATACACACACACACACACACACACATATATATATATATATATATATATACATAATAATATATATATAAATGATGATACATATATATATATAAAGATGTTAATAAAGAGTATATATTGCTTTGCTAATCTATAACATCTAGTTCATGTGTTGTGTTTTATGTTAAGCAGGCTGGAGCACGTATAAAAATGTATTAGAGAAATGTACACTTATGGATCATTAAATTAACACACACGCACACACATGAATCTTACATAGATTTAATGATATGTAACTGTTAATACAAATATCATTAGAAATACAAAAATACACATGCATAAATACGCACATACACGCACACACACTTTAATACATACGTGAATTGTATACAAGAAATTTTGCTCATAACATACATACAGACAAGTGAATTTTTCATGTAATATGTACGCAAATTGTATCTATATTCATTCATGCACTCTCGAAAAAAACTTCAAATATTTCTTCTGACTCAATGATTCATTCCCTCACTTTCTCATTCACTCACTCACTCTTCTTTTAATCATTCGCTCATTCATTCATTCATTGATCCAACGCGTAACATATATACACAACCATATTATTGTGCCATCATCATATGACGAGCCTTTTAAAATAATTAATTAACACTCAACTGCCAGGCCGTTTAAATCAATAATAACAATACCAACAATAATAATAATTTTTATTATTGCGATTATTACAATCTGAAATTTACATTTTTTTATTAGAAGCAAAATATCATATGTCAGAAATAATTGATTTCATTGAAAAAGATTGAAAGTTCCTGATTGGAAATAACGAGCCAGTACGTACGTACGTACCTTCAAAGAAACTGAAAGATATCATAATTATTAATAGATTGATTGTATCTAAATAAAGATACTTTAAAATTATATAATGAATGAATGGATGAATAAAAGAATGAATAAATGAAAGAACGAATGAATGAATGGCTGAATAAATGAACGAGCAAAATGTATAAACGATTTAGTAAGTAAACTTATAACAGCTAAATAGTACGACTTATGAAAAAAAATAATTAATTATATCTCATATTTTCAATTATGCGTTCGAAATAAAATCTCATCTATAAATAATAACTTTAATGTAAGCCGATGTTTGGTTGGTAGGTAGGTACTTAAGTTAAGAATCAGCGTTAGGTACCTACCTACGCGTTGATACGAAACATTTCAATATTTCTACGTGGCCTTTGAAATAACATACTTCAACCTATTTTCTCTCGTTATATCATAACAACATTATAAGTATATGATAATAATTATTACTGAAAAATGTTACAATCGTCATTTCTAAGACTCGGCAGTCTAAATTTTAACATCAAGTACCCACCGCTGACGTTGTTGGTTCTGGAATAATTAACCTTTACAACGGTCGAGACTGTTGTACAAGTATTTCTTCGTATATTCTGAACTTAATAAAACTACGGCAATTAACGTAACTATGATATATCATTGCAGATCTTCAACTCTGATATATCATTGCAGATCTTCAACTCTGATATATCATTGCAGATCTTCAACTCGATTATCATCCACACTGACACTGGCGGTTGAGTATGACACGAAAATTTGACGTTTAAACGACATCGCAAACATAAAAGGAGGCATACATGGCAAGAAAAGTAGATGAAGACCCCCGATACAGTACGTTGAGACATTATATAGACTAAAAAATGATAAAATACATCACAGAATTAAAAAATTATATAGACTACAAAATGATAAAAAACACCTCCGAATTAAAAAATTAATTTCCAATGTTGGCTTTTGTGGTCGTCAAACTTGCTGAAACATAACTCCGCCTCATTTTTACTCCTCCCTCCGATGATATCCAGACACTGCCCTAGGACGTTCACAATTTTCGACCCGTCCAGACGCCACTGGTGTTTCGGATCTCCAGCGTATGGCGCCATCGTTAGGATGGAATTGTCTCCTAAATGAGTTTCAATTGCTGTTAGTGATTTAAACCGAATATAGATTATTTATTAACAGTTTTTTATACAAGGAATCTAAAAACCATTAAGAATAAAACGTTTAAAAGTAAAAAACTTGTTTCAAAAACTCTTAACAGTTTTTATTCTTACACCTCAGCTAAAACAATATGCAAGACGTCAAATAAAATCATCTCCAAACGTTAAAGATCACCTGTGGCACTGAAGACAAATCCATTGAAAGAAGATACGATGAAACCATCTCCATTAAAATGCCACAGTTGCCGCTTGGTTTTGTGCGCTTTCAATAGGTAAACTTTAAATTCAAGGCGGGCGTTTTTACCACTATTGTACACACTGAGAACTCTCTCGGCTAAAACGGCCGTCTGTATCATGAAGTCCTTACTGGAAATTGTGAGGTTTCATAGAAATTAAGTGACAATTAGAAGTTGAATTTAGTGTAACGGTAGTTTAATTCAAATATTTTTTCGTGATACAAACCATTGCGGTTTCGGGCATATGTTCCGTACCTTGGGAAGCATTTTTCTTTCCATTTCCTCTTTAAACCGATAAGAAAAACTATTAAATATGTACTTTATTAACCAATACCAAGCAATAAATGCAATTCAGATGTCACGAACATTTCTGTACGACAAAAGCCGGCGCTCGTCAAACATTCAACAAACAGATGGGATACACAAATGCACATAAATGACATTATACAAGTAAGCGTACGACAAATTATTGGCAACAAAAAAATTAAAATAATTTCCGACAGAACCATTAAATATACAAACATATACACAATCAAACAAACATACCTCTTTCATCACTATCATCTACATCAACTTCTTCTTCTTCTGGTGCTGGTAAAATCTCTACCCCTTTAAAGAACCAAATTTGGTGTAGTTCGTTTACGTCGATCTCGACAAGCGCCAGTTCAAAAAGAACTGAATAAAAGTTATCACAGCAATTTCAATTCCTTTTATTTCAATACATTTACGAACGAATTGATACATTTCATAATAATTTTGAGAAATCTCTCAAAAGCAGACGCGCCAACCTAAGTTGGCCAGGCACATATGTGGATGAGACAGGCTGATGATGCGACCCTCTTCATAATTCCACTGCTGATTTTTATTTTTAACGTTGAATGGCCTGACGAAAAGCCCCTTTTCGTCTGTTGCGGATGATAAGCACTAATTATTCAATTCCTACTTGCTATGGTGCTGATTTCGAGCTAATGATTTTGAGTATTTATTATCCTTAAACATAAATATTTAAAGTTAATAAAATACAAAAACCTGGACAGTATTCAAGAACAAAATTATTCAGTTTTGTCCTAATTGTACCGGTCGAAGATTCAAAACACCAAATTTGATTTTGACTCTTGCTCAAGTTCCAACACCTCACCACAGGGAATGGTAATAAAACATTATTGTAGACCTCCAAACACGAGTCCAACTGAGAACTTATGATGTATACAAAACGATCGTATGAGAGAGATCTCACAAGTAAGTCATTGCTGTCCTCAGCTATCCAAATCTGATTTCTACGGCACATATTTTCAGTTAGTGTAACTGAAAACTCACCTGCATATGGATGGATTGAGGGTTTCACTTGGTACAAAATGTTTAAAAATTAGTAAAAACAATGATAATATTTCATCCATACATCTTGACATTTTGTAACATAAATTTAACTAGAACGAACCGGCAGTCAAAACGAAAGCGGGATTTGAAACACTGACAATGTTGTTGCATTCGTACCTCCATTTTTGTTTGTAGCTTCTAGCATCAAATGGTGAAACAATCATCATTCTAACTTCTGTGTGAATGCAATCAACAATTTGACATTAATTTAGAAAAATAAAATGGAATAGTATAACCTTATAAATTAAACAGAATTAAAGATAGTAACTCAACCAATTTATACAATAATTCATTTACCGAATCGTCACTTCAATAGAAAAATTATGCACTGTGTCCTAAAAAATGTACATTATATAGTATAAAATATATTAAGTACAAATTATTGTACAAACCAGCATCATACTGCAACACAAAGTTGTTGTATTTGCTTCTGAGGGCTGAACTGTCTGCATCGAAAACCCAAAGTTGGTTGATTTGACCTGTTATGTCCAAGCAGTTTACCTCAATACCTACATGGTTATATCTATTGCAGGTGACATCTACACTCAAGTATAAACCTTTGTCTGGGTTTTTCAGCAAGAATGGATGGTCCTTTTTAAAAATAAAAAGAGCTCTTTATAAAATAAAGTAGGGGATTGCATGAATTCAATGTTTCATACTCATACAAACTACAAAGATACAAATATTTTTTGTACTAAAAAACACACTGAGTAAGATTCAATAAGTTTTAAAACTGTTGTCAAGAGCAATTAATAACAATAACAAATGCAAATTACTTTCTCTCTCTAACTAAAAAGTAAAGTCTCTTCTAACTAAATAAACTAAACTAAAAATTATTGAAAAAAATTTAAAAAGTGAATTAAAAAAACTAACAGTTGGCAGTTGGCTGGCCTGCATTTTAATTCATTTTTTAGAGCTAAAGTCTGTTTTAAATTATTTTTATTTTGCATATAATGTTAAAACTTAACAAACTTGAAATTCTAAAAAAATTAACTCACCTAACCAACTAAACGACGACGGCACTGAAAAATAAATATTAACATGCCAGCAATCCTAACATGCCTGCATGTGTAAAAGTGGAAGAACATTATAAAGGTATCAGTGATGTATATCATAGATATCATATATACATACATGATATATATATATATATCAAGGTATTCCATGTATGTGATTATATACATATAGAATAATGATATGAAACGGTATTAATTTACGAATTCACGAATGAAATTTATCGCTGTTTTGATGTGATAACATGGATTTATATATGTATATACGTGATGAAAGAATCCATTTTTGTGTGATAATCAAATCATGAAGCGTCTTTTCACTATGCAATTTGTATTTGCATCAATTAACAGCTTAAATAATAATGAATTCTCTGACTTCTTTAGAATGCATTACAGAGGAATTATTGTAGATACTTGGTGTTGAATGGTTTTTTAGCATGTGGTGACTCCAGATTCATTTTAACCCTTTAAGAAATTCATTCAGTTTGCAATACCTTCAGAACGACATTTTGTGATAATTAAGTTTTAGCTTTGAATAAATATCGACAAGATAAACGTACCGCTAATGAACTCTATCGTAATAAATCACTAAAAAACTCTATTATTTTCGTGATACATTGTTTGAATAAAGTTTATTTAGTTGTGAATGCAAGTCCAGAACGTAATAATAAATATTGCCTTCAAAAATACATCAAAATCTCTGAAAATACAAATAAAAATTATTTTTTTAAATTATCAAGTAACCACTTCTTTCTAGAACTTCAAAATCTTTTGATCAATCTCACGTAAAAGGGCGAAGGATTATTCGTAACTCCAATAACTTCCTCGGCTTCAACACATGCTTGGCCTTCAGGTGGAAGAATGTGAAACTGTTGAATGATGGCGGATCCAAATTGAAACATTTCTTGAAGTGCGAGTGGTTCTCCAATGCACGAACGCTTGCCTTGAAAAAGATTGTATTTTTAAATTATTATATTAGTTAAAATTAATATCATAAAATAATAAAAGATGAACCAATAGAAAATGGAAGTGCGAGTTTCTTGTTAACAACTTCTGTGGCATCCTTATTAAGAAATCTTTCAATTTTAAATTTTTCCGGCTCCTCCCACACTTCAGGATCCATTAGTGTACTGTACAAATTGGCTAAAACAGTCACGCCTGCCGGGATATAAACTCCACTTATCACAGAATCTTTCGAAGTCATGTGAGGTGTAGCAACTCCCAACAGCGGTCGATTTCTCAAAACTTCTAAAATGCAGGCTTCTGTAATGGGCAAACTTGGTTTATCATCTGAAGATGGAAATTTTCGGAAACCAACGACTCTATCGAGTTCATTTCTCACTCGATTTTGAACGTCCTGATGATTCGCCATCAAGTAGAGAAACCAGAGCAAAGCGTTTGTTGTTGTGCCGGTTCCAGCAATTGTGAAATCTCTTATCATCACTGTTAGGTGTTCATTATCGATTTCGCTCAATTTATCAGTAGAAAATTCATTAGATATTTCTTCTCTGAACTTATTGCAAAAATTTTCTCTCGATTCGTTTTCAACTAAGTCGTCGATGTATTTAGCAATGAATATTTCCCACTTTTCTTCAGCTTCTAGTAACCTTTTATAGGGTTTTCTAAAATAAGGAAAAAATCTTAAAATTGGGAAAAAATTAATAAAATATCCTCGAGCAAAATTTTCAGAAATATTTAAAAACTCTTCATGTTCTGGGTCACCATCATCCCATCGTTTTCCAAAACATATGCTGCTGACAACGTTAGAAACCGCAGCTGTCACATCATGCAGTGGATTAAACGGTTCACCATTCTTAAGTTTTATCCTCTCAATAAGTTTCTCAACTTCGGTGTTTATTCTCGACTCCATCAACCCATGGCCAACTCCGAAATGTTTGAAAATGTTCAAATAAGCTTTGTGAAAAATTTTGAATTCCTCATCGTACGGATGCTCTACCAATCCTGAGTTGGCGAATATAAGTAAAAAAACATTTTGTTTTTGAAACTTGCAATAACAACAGTTTATTACAATTTCCAACCTTTTTGATTCTGGTTATATTTTCTGCACACTGGAAATATCGGGCGGCTAGAAAATGTTGAGCTATTCTTAACGAAAGCTTCATGTATGGCCTCCCTCCCATTCAACGTTACGACATACCTAAATTGAATTCAATTAAATTAGCTTATAGAATTCAATTTACTTTCATCACTTCATTAAAATAAGTCTCTGGATCGTCTTACGTGTCTCCCATATAAAACGCAATAACATTTCCGAGTGTCTTCGATTTTTTCATCATGTACACGTAAAATCTTTTTGAATCCGGAATAAAAGGGAGGGATCCGACCACCGGGAAGTGAGGAAGACATGGCGGAAGTTTGTACTGGGAACCAGTTTTGATTTTTTTGTACCATCTCAACAAAAACCATGAAAAAATAAATAAAAAAATATATAATACTACTGTGCCAATCATGTTTTGATGATAGCAATGATTATGAAATTTAAAATTTTTATAAATTTTTAAGATTAAGCTTCCATTCTTGTTAACACTACATGACGCCTATTGCTTAACAAGCATAAGTTCCATATGAAAGTCACACAAAAACAATTTTAAAGTTTAAGTCAAAGTCCACAAATTAATTTTTAGTTTAAGAACCTTTTGTATTTAGGCATTGAAAAGATTTATTAGTATGTTCACGATCGTTAAACTTTCAGTCTAACTCTGATACACATACATATCTCAAATTTGGAAGAATACTTTTATATGTAAAAAATAAAAATTAATCCTTACCTCGACAATCCTATCCTAATTTCATCTTACTTGTTTACTTCATTAGTCTTATCTTGTGTTATTGTAATTTGGCCTTCCTGGTTTTCTATCTATCTCAGTCTAAATTATTTCCTAAGTACTGAGTATCAGGATATGTTAAATGAACGCAAGCACCACGGTTTCTAAGTTTTCTCATTTTCACTCTTTCTTAATTACAAGTTAACACTTTTACGCTAAATCGGTTTTTGCTTTCTCTGGTCTTTTTCTCTGGACTTCTTTAACATCCTTTTCTGACTACTTCTCCATCACTTACAAAGTTCAGAGCGGATCTCAAGACCCATCTATTTGTGGAATTCATTCGAGAAACCGGCGCTTTAAAAACAAAATAGATTGATTGAACCGCACATAATAGAAAATAACATGATAGTACGAAAATAATAAGAAAAATTGTTATACAAACCAGATAGCATTTTTAACTTGATATGATGAACTATATTTCCCAAATCAGAGACTCTAACTTTTTAACTTGCTTGATAAATTTTACGTATTTCTGATAGAAATCTGCTTTGCAGTTTACAAGATTCATCTGTTCTGAAGATAAAAAAAATGTCGGAAAGTTTGAGAAAAGCAAAATGGAAGACGCAAGAATGTTGCGTTTTTATTAATTTATTAATTCATTCAGAAACACAAGCTTCATTTATTGTAAGCATAGACAACAAACAATACAATACAAAATTATTATTAATATAATTATAAGTATAAATATAAATAATATATTAGTTGCATCAGAGTATGAAAGAAAAAATTTAAAAAATAATGAAAGAAAAATAGTTAATTAACTAACCACACACCCAAATAACAATAACAACGTGTTTAATAAAAATCATAAAATTGCGTGTATATGTGTGTTTGTAACAGCTGTGTGTGTGTGTGTGTATGCGTGTGTGTGTATGCGTGTGTGTGTATGCGTGTGTGTGTGTAATTAAAAATACTCAACTGTCAACTAAAAAAACAAGAAATAGTTTGGAATGAATGATTGAATGAACAAATTAAAGCTATAAAGGAAAAATTATTTATAAATATTATGAATATAATTAATATATATAATAATAATAATTGTTATTATTATTATTACAATAAATATTATTACAAAAACCATCAAAGCATGTTACACATGTGAGAATCTTACGCTTATGTGAGTGAAATAATAGATTTATAAAAAAAAAACATTTCATATATAAATCAATCATTTTATATCCTTCTAATTAAACTTATCATTTGGATGCAGTGAGTGAATAGATTGTTACAATAAAACTTTAACTTCGTTCAATATAAAATAATTAATTAATTAGTTCATTAACTAATTATCAAAAAATCAATCAATTAATTTAACTAAATAATTAATTACAATCACTACAAAATCACAAACGAACTCTCTAACTACCACAACAACAACAACAACGACAACAGTAATTAATATTACTTTACAACTATATATATATATATATATATATATATATATATATCATAAGATCATATATATATATATATATATATATCATAAGATCATATATATATATATAAGATCATATATATATATATATATATATATATATATATATATATATATATATATATATATATATATATATATATGATCAATAACAATCAATAACAATCACAACAAAATGATAACAATAATAACAACAATAATTAATTTAATCTACTAGGGATAGAATCAGATGGCGTGAAGCTACAGCAATACAGAATGAATACACGATATTTGTAGTACCACACTGTATACAAAATCGTACACAAATATATTTGTGTACGTATGTGTATGTGTGTATGTATGTATAAATGTGTGTGTGTGTGTCAGTAATGATAATGTTAACTACAAAATACATAACTCCAAATGGCGGTGATATACAAACACAGATACATCTATACAAAAGTGTCCGTGGTTTATATATATATATATATATATATATATATGTGTGTGTGTGTGTGTGTGTGTGTGTGTGTGTGTGTGTGTGTGTGTGTGTGTGTGTGTGTGTGTGTGTGTGTATAAGCAAAAAATATGTTGTTTCGAAATCAAATAACTTTTGGTCATCACAAAAGAACACGAGAATTTGAATATTACTAATTTATATAATTTATATTTCTATTTAGACTTTCACCCCATTATCATCATCATTACCACCACCATCATCTTTACCAGCAATTAATTAGTTAATTAACTAATTATTATCAAAAAAAAAAAAAATCATCCTCGAGTCCCAATTACTCAGTATCACTAATGATGAGGTGATTAATTTTGGAGACATCTTCGTCGTCGTCGTCGTCAGCCACTTTGCGGCCATCGTCGTCGTCGTCGTCGTCGTCTTTCATCATCTCGTGTGCGCTTCCTATGTCGTCGTCATCAGCGTAATCGTTGCCGGCGACGTGCAGGTTGTTGTTCTCGTAGTCGTCACAGCGGTTGATGACGTCATTTTTGTTGTTATTTTTATTTCTATTATTATCGTCCTTGTGGACCTCTTCGTCGTCGTCGTCGTCGTCTAGCGCGTCAGCTGCACTCTGCGTGCAGTGAAAAAAGACATTCAATCATCTTGATAGATTAATGTAGTGGTTATTTTGTTGAGTTTATATGTGAGAGTTTAATTGGTTAACAAGTTTAATCTTTTGATAAATTTAAATGATTAGTCTTTGATTAGTCTAATGATTCATTCATCCATTTATTCATTCATTCGTTTGTTTATTTATCCATTTATTTATTCAATCCATCATTCCTCCTCCATCCTTATTTTTCACTGTATTTTTTTGCGACTACTACTTTAAATTCATCCAACTATTCATGCATTCATTCATCCATTTATTTGATCATTCATTCATTCAATCATCTACTTATCCAGCCATCCATCAATCTTACCGTCACATCCAATGGATTGACTGTTATGGTGATCGTAGACTTATCCCATTGCAGATCTTGTTCATTATCAACGTGAACTCTGACCTTAAGGTTACGAACGAACGAACAAACAAACGAATTAGAATTAATTAGAACGAATTTCTATTATAGCAATAATAACAATGATAATTATATACAGTTTTTGGCCTATTGGTGACCATTCTATAAGTGCCGACAGTGATGACGGCCAGGAGGACGACTGCACACAAAACAACAGTTATCACGACTATAGCTGATCCTATTACAAAACAAATTATTATTATTATTATTATTAAAAATAAGTAATTAACTTAATTAACTTATTAAACAATTAGCCTTCCATCAAGAAACTAAACAACCAGTCAACGTTCCAGACAGTTGGTTATTAATGTACCGACAAACCAACCAGCAGGCAAACTAACTAACCAATCATTCGTCAACAAATCAACCAACTAATTAATCAATCAACCAACCGATCAGCCAATCAATCAATCATCCAATCAATCAACCAACCGATGAATCAATCGTCCAATCAATCAACCAACCGGTCAATCAATCAATCAACCAATCAATCAACCAACTGGTCATTCAATCAGTAGCATACCGGATTTAGAATCACTCTTAGTTCCTTTCGTATCATCTTGCAATGGCAGATGACGCTGGCTGTTGTATATTTTGTTGTGTCCCAGGAAATCCACTTTTAAACCAGTTAATTTGTCGTTATTTTTGTCGCTATAGTCGTAGTGAATCACGTTCAACTGTCGTTGTGTGTTTGTATATGTGTCTGTATGTATGTGTGATTGTATGTGTGTTTGTGTATGTGTGTTTGTGTATGTGTGCATGTATGTGTGCATGTATGTGTGCATGTATGTGTGCATGTATGTGTGTATGCATGTGAGATGATCTGATGATATGGATAAAAAGCACTATTTTACTGCACATTCGTCCTATTGTTTCTTCACTCATCATCCATTTATTCATTCATTCATTAATTCTTTCATTCATTCATTCACTCACTCATTCATTCATTCATTCTTTCATTCAATCAACCATTCATTCATTCATCCAGTCGCCCAACCAACCAACCTGGACAGTGAGCTGCCGTGATGGCGCGCGCTCACTACCACCGTGATAGCAGACGAGATGGAACGTCTTCTCATTCACCTCCTCGGCCCTCAAATGGACGTAGAACATCTTCTTCAGGACACTCATGAAATCTTCCACTTTGCCCGGGCCTTAGGTTTTTAGGTAGGGTCAAATTAACTAGGTCAAGAGTTGAATTAATTAGGTCAAGTCGAAGTCATTTAGTCGTGTCGAGATCGTTCAGTCAACTGGAATTAATTAGGTCGCGTTCGTTAAAAATTAATTAGGTCATTATAAAACTTTAATAAATAATAGACACATTTGTGGGGCAGAAAATCAAATGATACAAAGCAAGAATGAGAAAATTATACAATACAAACAAAGCGCTAATCAGACAAAGTATACAATACAATATCATGCAAACATACAATACAAAACATCACAATACAATACAATACATTACAATACAATACATCACAATACAATACAATACAATACAAACATACAATACAAAAAAGAAACAAACAAAAAAACGAACAAACATACAAACAAACCCTTGATGACGATCTCCTGAGGAGTGTAGTTAACAATGAGGTGTTGGGAGTGCACCAGCTGGTTGGAGTATATCAAGCTGTCTACGTCATCATCCAACTCAGGGAAGATTCTCACGTTACAACTTTGAATCTCGTTGGATAGGTAGGCTTCCTAATTTGTTGATGATTGATTGAAGGGACGAGTGAATGAATGGAGGAACGAATGAATGAATGAATGAATGGATGGATGAATGAATGAATGATTGGTTAACTGACCGATTGTTTGGTTGGTCGGTTGTTTTAAAGTTTCAACTAGCTCAAAAACAAATTGCTGAAAGAAATTTTTAACAGTGATTTCTAACGCAAAATTGTACCATAACCAAACATTTAGTACAAGTTAACAAACAAAACTGGAACCGACTTTTTCCAAATCGCCATAACTATCATCATCAAGCGGAAACGGATAGATAAGCACATCCCTAAAAATCTGGACCCCCCTTCTGACGTCATCATCAACAACGTCTAGCTGTTCGGTCCCGCTGATTAGCAAAGGTTCTGATTCGCCGCCATTGTTGTTGTTGTCTTCACTGACTTCTTCATCGTCGTCAAGGTTAAAGGTTATTTTTATGTTGTCCATGGCTACTTGTCTGACTGTTGTGTCTTCTCTACATCTGGTCAGTCAATCAATTAATCAATCAATCAATCAATCGATCAATCAAACAACCAATCAATCAATCAATCAACAAATATTCAACAAAAGTTTTCGACCTAATTAAATGTTAATTCAAAATATCTATCAAAAAAGCCGTTGAAAATAGTAAATAAACTTACTCCTGTATAAACCCAATTATTAACCAAGCAAAAAAACTAATCAACCGACCAACCAACCAGCCAACCAATCAACCAACCAATCAACCAACCAGCCAATAAACCACATCAACAAACAGACACCCCTTACTTCAAAGACGTCTGAAAAGCGACGACCGATGGCGCGGTGGCAGACGACGATGACGTCATCAACCTCGGATTGATGTAGGCCACCCTGGATATCAAATGTTCGACACTCTCTTTCGACCTACCGTTGATGGTCAGTTCGGTCATCTGACTATTCATCGAAATACTCTGCGTAAAGATGGACACATACACACATTCACACATATTGAATTGAATTTTATCTGTCAGAAGCACAGGAGACTAAGATACAGATGTATGTGCAAGCCAAGATACAGGCCATGATGCAGGCTAAGATATGTGCAAGCCACCTTAATCTCTATTGTGCATCGGAATGTACAAAACGGGTGAACGAAATTGAAATCCAAAATGAAATAGAAATCCTGACAAGAGACAACAAAAAACAAGAAGTGAAATATACATACATAGTACATAAACGAATACAATATAGGTTATATGTGCCTACAAAAATACACACACATACATATATTCAACCGTACATTCGCTTTCACATTCTACAAACAATACAACATAACGCATGCACACCTAAATAAAAAAAATATTAAAACAATCAAACATGTACTCGTATACACATAATCTTACACCACACGTACACAGACACACACACACACACAAACCATTCCACTTTCCATCTGATTGACGGAATGGAAGTCTAGCTTCTCGTTGCAGTTGTTGAGGCATCGAACTGCTTGCTCGCTGAACGCCGAGCCAACTGATTTTCGTGATAGCAACAAACCAGCCAAATGACCTTTCAAGTAATCTCCATACTTGCCTGTCAGACCTGTCAATCATTCATTCTTTCATTTATTCATTCATTTTTCTTTTCTTCTCATTCGTTTATTTGAAGACAAAAAAAAACAACAAACTTATACCACAATCTATCATTCATTCATTCCTCAATTAATTTTTTAATTCATACACTCGTTTGTTTATTCTTTCATTAATAATCCATTCACACAATCATTCATTTATTCATTCATACACTCACTCACTCACTCACTCACTACTCACTCACTCACTCACTCCGCCAAAAAAAAAACCCAGTCAACCTTTCCAGCAAGCACCGACAGTCAACTTGGTTCCGTGAACCCTCTTCGAGTTGTGCAGTGCCCGATCGTCGATGATGAAGGGGTTGCGTTGGGTCTCGGGGAATAGATTGCCGTCCACAAACAGCCTCGCGACGTCCTGATCTACCATGACAGTGTAGTGGTGCCACCTGGAGTCGCAGACCTGGTCCAGTTTCCAGTGCCATTCACTATGGCGGTAGAAGGCCTTCTCGTCGTAATTGTCCTCTTCGTTGTCGTCGGTGACGTCACTGTCATCCCCGTTGTTGTTGTTGTTGTTGGTGACGTCATTACCACCCTTCTTGTTGTCGTTGTTGCCAGAGTATTTGACCCATTCTCTGCTGTCGTCACCGTTGTCGTAACTGTCTCCATCTTTACTGTTGTCATTTTTCTTGTCACTGTTAGCGATGACGTCACCCTTGCCGCCGGCATCTTTATTGTTAACGTTATTGTCGTCATCTGTACTAGTTGATCTCCTTCTTCTTCTCCTGACATTAACTTCCTTCACGGCTGGATCTTTTGACGGCTCAAAGCGAGCCAACATCACAAGATGGCAGTTGTGTAGATAGAGAGAGATTCGACTGCGACTCATTCCTATGTGGAAAAAAAATGAAAACGAGGTAATCTTACAAGAACATGCCCAAACGTTATCATTTCTCATCTCAATATTATCATTTGTCCATTTAGATGAGTTTTTTTGAACGTAGAAGTTTCAATTTTTCGTTCATCACTTACCACATAAGACATCCAAACTCTACAAACAAACAAACAAACAAACAAACAAACAAACAAACAAACAAACAAACAAACAAACAAACAAACAGACAGACAGACAGACAGACAGACAGACAGACAGACAGACAGACAGACAGACAGACAGACAGACAGACAGACAGACAGACAGACAGACAGACAGACAGACAGACAGACAGACAGACAGACAGACAGACAGACAGACAGACAGACAGACAGACAGACAGACAGACAGACAGACAGACAGACAGACAGACAGACAGACAGACAGACAGACAGACAGACAGACAGACAGACAGACAGACAGACAGACAGACAAACAACAAACTCTTATCTTTTATCTAAACAAACACTCACCTTGCCTGACAAACATAGACCTCAAAAAACCATTTGGAAATGTTTGAATTTCGTGACTAAATACATAGTAAAAAAAAAACCTTAGTACGAACCGTCATTATCTGAACTGCATACGATACTCTGCTTGCTATTTCCAGCATCGAGTCCTTCCTCCATACTCCTCCTCATCCAGGTGGATATGGTAAATTTTGATCTCGGTCCACTTTTAGTCATCAGAAATGACGACGACGACGCTTTATTATTATTATTGTTGTTGTTGTTTTCATTATCATTATTATCGTTATCATCATCATCATCATTATTATTATTATTATTATTATCCATGACGTCGTTGATGCCAGTGACGTCATAAGCTGTCTTCCCATCAAAATAGTAGCCATCATCATCATCATCATTATTATTATTATTGTCATTATTATTGTTATTATTAATATTATTGTTGTTGTTGTTTTTGTTGTGGTTGTTGGGATTTTTACTCAGCTGTCTGATGTGCTGCACAGTTAGCACTTCAATTGTATCTTCTGAGAGATCTGAGAGAGAAAAATATTTAGAATGTGATGGTGAATGAGTGAGTGAGTGAAATCGTAAGTCATCACCATCTGCAAGGATTTATTTCACCGTCGTCGTTGCCATCATCAACAATACATTGTCACTATAGCACCTCTGAGTTTCTTTACAAGAGGCGCTATATAAATCATCAAAGGCAAATCACCAAATACTATCATCATCACCGTCATCATCATCATCATCTTCACATCAACTTGGAAAGAACTTCACTTTCATTATACTGGCCATCCATTATAAACCATCACCATCGTCATCATTATTATCGTCATCACTCAAATCATCATCATCATCATCAATAGAATCATCATCAGTATCATCATCACCAACATTATCGTCATCATCATCCTCACTAACATCATCGTCATCATCATCGTCATCATCAACTGACCACAAGTGGATACCCTCCTCTTGACAGAGGCGTCGTCCATATCACACGTCCTATCAATCTCAGACAGCACTTCGTAATCATTACTAGCATCGCCACCGCTACCGTCGTTAGCCCGGGGTTTTCCCAACTTCATAGAAACTGAAACCTGCTCGACGCTGCAGTTTGTGACGTCACATATGTTCAGGGATGCGCTGCTTCTTGGGAATAATTGAGCCGCCTTATGAGCGGTCATCTTGTAGTGAATATTCTTTCTGTATCCTTTGCAATGTCAAGTTTAAGAAGATAGACTATAAGACTATATATTCAGCGTGTTTGAAAATGCATTGAAAAAACCACTCAATCAACCTGTTGATCAACCGACCAATCACTAAATTAATCAACCAAACTAGTTAATTAAAATTAATTAATCAATCAATCTCAATTAACCGGTCAATTATTTAATTAACTGAACAAATGAACCAACCATTCCAGCCAGCCACGCACAACTTCTTTATAAGAATATTGACGAATATGCTTTCAGACTTGAGGCCCCTACAATCCTCTGCAACAACTTCCAATATGTAGTTGTGTCTGCTGCTGTAGTCCAGAGATTCTGTGTTTCTAAGGATACCTAAAATCGTGTGAACGATACACGCGTGTGTTGATGAGTCTGATGAGATGATGTACTAGCTAGCTGGTTGCTTTGGTACATTATATACTGCATAGAACTGCAACAAATTCAGTGCCAACCAGTTTTATTGTCCAACTGAAATGGAACATCAGGAGTTAGGAGGTGGTACCAGCATACGTCGGCATCTTCAGAGAGGCCATCCTTATCAATGGCCTTCACCTTCAGGATGTTGTCGTATAATTTTCCCTCTTCCATGTCCACCACGTAGCTGGTCGTCGTCCATTCTGGGGCGTACTCGTTCACATCAAGTACCATTATGTTCAGTTCTTGTCTGTTAATGGAAGTGAAGTTAGGAAATGAAGTCACCAAACTATTTTTGGTAAAAAAATGTGTAAACAAACAAATGAAGAAAGTTGTTTTTGTGAACATTTTTTTACAAAAAGGTAGAACAATTTTTAGAAAAATCAGTAAAATATATTAAAATAATTATACTTGGAGGTTTGTATTGGGCCACCACAAAACTCTGCAGTAAGAATTAGTACATAGTTGTTGGTGACCTCATGATCCAACACCTCCCCACGGGCCAGTCTGATTATGGCCTGACCAGTTGTGCTGTTGACCAGCTCCACGATGAATGGGTTGGGGCCTTTTTCAACTTTTGGCTCCAACTTGTATGTACACACTAAGAGAACAGAAAATTTTATTTATGAAATATACCATAAAATATAATTTGTTAAATTTAAAAAAATAAAGGGTGTGATAAGACAAATATAAATTATTTGAAATATAATAATGAAATTAAGGTAAACCACCTTGCTGTCCAGTGATTGTTGACAAGATTGGAACATTGAAATCAACTGTCTGGTTGCTCTGTGAGTTCTCTTTTATGGTACCATACAACGATTTTGGTGATGCTGATGTGAAGAAATAAAAAATAAGTTGTGGCATATATAACACTTGAGAAGAATAAACCTAAAAAATTAATAGTATTATCATCATCCATTTTATTTTTTTATTTAATTTTGTTAACAAATAATCAATGAATCAAATGAGAAACTAGAACGAAATTAAAAAGCCACTAAAATACAGTTTTAGTCCATAATTATTTTTGTATTTTAGGCTATTTAATTAACTAAATTAATTAATTTAAATAACCAAGTTAACTAGGTACTGAAGTGAAACAAACAGGTAGGACAAATAATTTTTTAAAGAAAAAAATTGGCAAAAAATATGAAACAAACCTTGATTTTCAGAACAACGGGCTATGCCGATTAGTAACGTAAAAAATGAAAATTTGATTGCACAAAAAATCATTTTTGAAGATTATTTTAATGAAATTTTGTGCAAGATCGCAATCGCCAAAAAACACCTTGGTGAATAATTTATTATAAGTAAACAGAAGATGCCTAATATAATGCTTAGATATAAAAACTATATTTTTAAACATCAAATATCAAACAATTTACAGCTGAACAAAAATAAAAAACGTAATTTGTATTGGAAATAATTTATTTGATTTATTAAAACAATGTATGTTGGTGAATTTATTAGCTAAATTTTAATGTTGTCGCATATTACGCATTGTCGCTAAAACTGTATAAACTGCTTAACACTATTTTAACTAAATCCACTTTTCAAAATAAATAAACCGTTTCGTTTGCCAGGTACTGGAATGTTAACTGACTTAGATTTATCTTGCGGTTTCAGAGCCGGACATTTGCAATTTTTTATTCGTAATTCTTGTTGCAATTATTGTAATTTTTTAAAAATAGGTTATTTTATTTTTCAACAGAAGATCAGAGGTTTCAGTTCGTCTGTCTAAAAAAAATCCAACATTCCAGAAAATTCGTTTGTTGTGGTGGGACCAAGCAAGCGCAAGTCGTCGCCGAACTTTGTGATATTTTTATCTTTCTAAACTGGCTAATAGAATAAAAATCGACGAGATAGAAGAGAAATGATCAGTGATAAAATATTAAAAACAAAACTGCACAAAGTAGACAATGGCCGTGTACGTGGGCGTTTGAAAGGTAACTATGGTTACATGAGGTCTGACGAGTTTTTGAGGATGAAGCAGATGAGGAGTCTGATAAAAGACGACGTGGTTAATTAGTTAGCCATTTTGTTTTTTTTTAAATTTCAGAAATAAATTCAAATTTTAATTCATTTTTAACTTATTACTGTTTTTAACTCTAATTTAATTATAATTATTGTATTAATTAAAATTAATTTTTTCATAATATTGATTAATAATTCATACCATTTAATTTCTTCTATCCCAAAAGCTTGAAAGAAGAAAGATACAGAGATAGTCATCATGGAAAAAGTTTAAGCAGTGCCACTGCTAGCACTAATAGTGAATTTAATCCTAAGAATTATCTCAACTTTGTGGTCAAAATTAAAAATGATTTCTGCAGACTGTAAGTGTAGCTAAACTTTTTTCTAATTTAAATTTATACATTTAATTATTAATTTAATTAATTAACTAGTTAATTAACCAATTAATTAATTGATTTTGGTGTATTTAATAGTGTAATTTTAATGTCTTTCATATTACAAGGTATTTCTATAATTTTGCACACAAGTTTTTGCAATTTTGCAAACTTTGTGTGTGTGTGTGCGTGCGTGTGTGTGTGTAACATTTTACTTATCTTATGTTTTTTTCGTTATAATTACAACTAAAATATTGTAATAAGTAATGTTATGAGGTTACGCTTGTAATGATGAATAATTTATACTTATTATGATGCATAATTTATGTTAGCAATGGACATTTTTATCTGTTTTATTTCTTTCTTTGCGTGCTTTCCTGAGAAAATTTGATAAATTTATATATTTCCCCCTTCCCCCCCTTTCAAAACTTCCAAGAAATCCATCAAAGAATGCTGTCGACATTTCTATGCCATCGGCACCTAACGTGAAAAACACCAACAACAACAATAAAAATAGTAGATACAACAAATTTAATAACAACAATAATAATAATAATAGTGATACTACTACTAATAATAATAATACTAATATTAATAAGAAGAATGAGACCTCTAATAGACTGAAGAGAAGGGATAGAAGTAAGGAGTATGAAAATATCGAGGTTCAAATTTTTATGGATTCACAGCAGTCTGCCACACCTTCTACAACGAAAAGATATCATACAATTAGCAACAACAACAGCAACAAAAGAAACTCTAGAAATAATCTTGGCGCTACTACTACTACTGCTGTTGCTGCTGCTGCTGCCGCTACCACCAACAATAATAATAATAATAAAAATAATAAGAATAACAAAAATAATAATAGCTATGATGATTTTGTAGATGATGAAGGATGCGACGTGAGCCAGTCTTCGAACATGATTATCGATGATGATAATGATGGTGGTAATGATGATGATGGTGGTCGTAACAATCGCAACACATCTGCTATCAACAACAACAATAATGATGATTATGATGCTGACAATGATGATGAGGGTGATGGAGAGTTAGGTGTTGATGATGGTGATGACCGTGTCATAGCTGATGTTGATGAGCTGATTGTTTGAAAGGGTCAGCTCTTGGAGGAATGATGATTGCATTAACAATAACTGTATTGATATAATATCTAATCATCAATCTATCTGTCTGTCTATCTATCCATCCATCTATCTCTCTGTGAATATATCTGGCTGTTCTGGTTGGTTTGATTGGTTGAGAACAAGAGAAGAACATTTTATTTATATAAATAATTATTATATTTTATATATTTTATTATATAAATAAAAAAAATAGTTAACTATTGTCTTTGTCCTTTTCATTTCATTATTCTTAATAATTAATCGATCGATCAATCAATTAGTTAGTTAATTAATTAGTTAGTTAATTAGTTAGTTAGTTAGTTAATTAATTATAGTATAACGGTTGGGGCGTAACGCCCTGTGTGTGTGCGCGTGACGTTGGTGTGGTGGTTGTTGACGTCATTCATCGTAGCTTTTGTTGTCGTTAGTAAGTAGCACGATATACCGGAGACCAAAACTTGTGAAATAGTCAATTTTGTTTCCCACCACAAGTTTAGGTCTCAGGGATATGTAGTACTATTGTCGCTGCTATCGTTGTTGCCGTGGCTGCTGCTGCTGTGGCCGTGGCTGTTGTTGTGGCCGTGGCTGTTATTGCTGCTGCTGTCGTTGATGCTGCTTCATTTTTGTATGTTTATATGTCGTTGATGACGTCATAATTGATGACGTTGTTGTCACTTGAAGTCAGATGCGGTTAGGCGTACTGTCCAAAGTAGGTGTGTTAACATGGGTTGATCTGCGTTTAATAATAAAAATATAAATTAAAATTATTATTAATATTATTGCTATTATTGTTGTTGTTAGTAGTAGTAGTTGTTGTAGTAGTAGTAGTAGTAGCAGTTGTTAAATTATTATTATAAAAATGAGAGTTAAAATTCTTGACAACTTATAATATTGAGGCCATTCGTCCGGGACACAGAACAGGACAGGACGAATTGAAATGATGATGATCATTATCAATTCGTCATATCAATAGCTCCATTCGTGCGTGGGAAATTCCTAGAAACCGGAAATAGAATAATTCACGTTTAGGAAAAATTCAAGGCTAACCTAGAAAACAGTCAAATGATTATAAATAATGAATGTTTAAAATGTGGCCCTTTGTTTTATTGCGCGGTATTAAGTGATCTAGGCTGGTAGGATGATTGATGGAGATTATTTTTGTTGTTGTTTGTTGATGTTGTTGTAACTGCTACTGTCGATGATGATGTTGTTGTTGTCGTTGTTTTTGCTGACATTGTTGTTGTCGTCGTTGCTGTTGTTTTTGCTGTTGTTGTTGATGTTGTCGAGGATAATGATGTCATGATGACGATGTTTTTGATGATTTGATAATGATGAGATGTTCGTGATCAGAAATTCACGCATACAAACACACACACACACATATACACACACGTATGAAAAACATGAGCCGTTTTTAAGATAATATTTTTTTATAAATTTCTAATTAGCAGAGGCATATGGCTGAATTGAATTAAAAAAGTTTAAAAAAATCGAACTAATGAATGCCAGGACTTTTTTCATGTTTAACTGGTAGTACTGAATAGCTTTTTTTCGTTATGTATGCTTGTGCGTGTGTTAGACATCTGTCTGCGTGTAGTAAGTGCGTGATTGTGGGCGTGTGTGCGTGAGTGTGCGTGTGTGTTTATATAGACGTGTGTATACGTGCATGATGGTTCTGACGATGATGAAGAAGAAGTTGATAAAATCGATGTCATTCAAGATATGTTAATGACATTAATACACGGTCGTCAAGTTTACTGCGCCTATTCAAAGTCTACTGCGCTATATAAATTCAAACATACATACATACATACAAACAAACATACATACAAACAATTTTGTCAATTGAATATGAATCATATCCAACTTATTTTCAGATGATAAAGACAAAACATTTTGTTGTTGCTATTATTATTATTATTATTGTATATAATAATAATTACTACTATAATTAACATTTATTATGATTATTATTATTTATTCATAATAACATATCATCCAGATTTAGATTGTAATCCGGCAGAGCTTAAGCTAAAGGACATATGTAGATAGACAACGTTGAAATATATTTATAAATAGTACTAATTATTATTTATATTATACTTGTTATAATTTTATTATTATTATTATTTATCTTATAATTATAATTATTATTAATTTTTAACAAAAACATTAAAACAAAATTATCTTTTAACTTTTGCCAATGGGGATAGTGATAATTAATAATAGTATCATAGATATATACATGTGACTATGATGGTGATGACGATGATTAGTAGTTGTAGCTGTAGAAGTAGTAGTAGCAGTAGTAGTAGATGTTGTAGTAGTAGCAGTAGTAGTAGAAACAAAAATAATATGAATATGGTGGTACTAGCGACAACAACAACAAAAATTATTCTCTCCAGAACTAAGACAAACCCAAATTTATGCATATATATACATACATACGCATATACAAACAAACATACATACATATATACACTAACACATACATACATGATAGGAATTGGAAACGTTCTATGACATTGAGTGATGACGTCGATGTTGAGGATGAAGATGCTAATGATGAGAGAGATGATGACGGAAAGAAAGAGAAGAGTAAGGTGATGATGACGACGACGACGAGAATGATGATGGTAGCAAAAAAAACTAAAAAAAATAAGAGAAATGAAATTGATGATAATGTTAAAAATTCTAACAGCGAAAATGTTTGTAAGCATGACCACTTTGATGATGATGATGGCGATGATGACGACGACGATGATGATGATACCGGTCAAAAGTTATGACGTAGATGATGACGTCATAATAGGTGGTCCATGATTAGGATGTCATATCATATATTATCTTCAGTTTAAAAGGCTAATAAATAAATTGACGTATTGTTTGTATGTATGTGTGTGTGTATGTATGTGTGTGTGTATGTTTTAATAAATAAACAGACAGACAGACGAATACACAAGCAGACAAGCAAAAAAAGTTAAGAATTTCACAATGTTGTTATTGATCTGTCAGTATTTCATATGAGAAGTATATGCAATGAAAATATGGGAAAACCCTAATTCATACAGACAAATGTCTAAACACATACAAACATACACACACATACATACATACATACGTACATACATACATGCATACGTGCATGCAAACGTACATGCATACGTACATGTTACTCGAAGCAATCACAATCGTCTTTTAAATAAGGTAATATTTATAATGTATTCAGGCATATATTTCAGGTATTTGCATTCCTGGTATTTGCTTGCACTCTGATAATGTTAGTATCCGTATAATTTGCGTATCGGGTTTTCTATACCGATAATAATCGTATCGGTTTTAAAAGTATGGCTTATCTTTATAAGCAATACCGGTTTTTTATGTATAACGCAATTTTGTGTACCTGTATATTATCTGTATTTGTATTTAAGACTGTTTATTGTACATTATTATTGTATTGATATTTTATAGTATCGTTATTACTTAGTGTATTGGTACTTCTTACTTCGGTATTTTACAGTATCGGGTGTTTTTTTTGCATCTGCGCGAGACAAAAAAAAGTTGAATGTATGATGGAGGAAGAAGAAAAATTCAGCTATTCTTTGTAGACGATCTTATTGTAAGACCACCACGATGATGATGACGACGACGATGATGATGACGACGATAAATCTTGTTAATAATACAGTAGCTATATTATTACAATTTTAACAACTCTTGAAACAAAACTGAATCTACAAATAACAACTTTAAATCAATAAAGGATAATAATGATAATAATTATTATTTTTACAGAATATTATTAGTAGTAATAATAATTCATAATCAAAATGAAACAAAAAAAAATTTATATTTTTTGCCTCTAGCAGTGGGTTTTTATTAAACAATTTTTGCCTCATCGTATTGAATCACACGGAAAATTAATTAATTTTTTTCAAGTGTTTGCATAGTTACTACAGCTGCTGCAACCACAACTATTACTAATACTACTACTGTGGCTGCTATTACGACTGCTACTACAACTTTTATTACTATACTTCTACCACTTACTACTATTGTTACTATAATACTACTGCTGCTGTAGTACTAGGCATATATACAAATACATACAAACTTTAACCATACATACATACAAACATCCATTCATACGTACATACATACGTACGTACATACATACATGTGATATACGCTTGTGTATGTACTGTACTTGTGTACAGTCCGTTAAAACGCATAAATATGCATCGGCATCAGCTGCTCTAGCTGCACAGTTGCTGACGATGTTGATGATGTTTTTACTGACGTTGTGGTTTTTTTCTGTTGTGGAGACGTTCTGTACCCACGTTTTTGTTGAAGCAACACCATCATCATTGTCTGATCTGGACCTTTTGGTACGTGCGTATGTGTATTTCTGAGCGTCTGCCAGTCTAGACTGTGTCTGCTTTTCAGGGTGAAATTATCATCATCGTCGTCGTCATCGCTATCACACTACACTAATGTTATTACTTTTATCGTTTATCACGCTGTCAACATTAACGTCGTCATCGTCACACTCTTTATCATTTATTTCTTTTCAAAATGCTGTATTTTTCAATTTCATTGTCTGGAACTCTATTGTATTAATATATATATGTGTGTGTATGTAACTATATATTAATTTGTGTGAGTGTATGCATTTGTGCTATGAAACCATTAACGCATCATCATAATCATCATTTATAATACCATTTTATTTATACCTTCTCCTTTTTCTTAATTTTTTCCCAACTCATCGTCAACTTCATCTTCACCATCATCATTATTATTATCATCAGTACCTTTATTTTTCATCATCACCATCAGAAAAAGGATAATTACCATCACTATCAATCTATCTATCGACATCATTAACAGCGATTTCATCTTCATAATCATCGGCATCATCTTGGCACTTTTTTTTCTCCCTCTTTTTATTTTTTCATTGTTTGTATTTACTGCACGTTCCTGATTTATTTGTTTTTGTTGGACGTCTGTATCTGTATATATCCGTAAATGTTCGTCTATGTGTATTTGAACACCAAAGTTGGTACAAGAATACCGAAAACAACTTTTCTGTTCTATCATGCTTAAAACAAATAAAAATTTTGGTTTCGAACTGACAAGAAACTTGACAATGATTTACGATCTACCGTTGGAAAAATTAAACAGGAAGCTAACGCGGAACATGCTGTGATTTTCATCAATAATCGCATTTCTGACACTCCTAAGGCAAGAAGCTTAATTAACAAATTATATGAGTTCATGCTGTTCTTAAAAACGTTTCCATTCAAATTTTCTGCAATCGCAGTTAGTGAGACATGGCTGAAAAAGCAAACATGCATCAGTGTCCAGTTCAGAAACGAAAATGTTGACAAATGTCTGGACATGTTTTTAAATGTTTTCAACATAGTTCTCGATAGATTTGCACCTAAATAAATTTTTTTTTGGATAACTACTGAAATTATGAATCTGTCAAAAAATCAAAAATCCAAAGTTATACAAATAATTAATCAAAATCCCAACAAATAGCAACTTAATACAAAACATATCGAAACTTTTTCACATGTAAATCAATCAATCAATCAATCTTCGTTTTGCGTCCAGAGACCCGGTTTCCCGAGGTAGGACGTTGTTTTCTTTGCCATCAACATTTTGCGCCAAATTAGACGATCAGTTGTATCCATTTCATTTAAATTTAGAGCTTTCATGTCTTGCTCGATTGTTTGCGACCAGGACTTCTTTGGACGGCCTTTGGGACGTGTGCCAGGTACTTCAACATCTGCAAGAGAAGTTATGGCACTGTTTCCACTTCGTTTGACATGACCAAACCACCGCAGACGGTGTTGCCGGCATTCGTCCTTTATATCATCTAAACCAGAACGACGCAGGATTTCGGTAGATTTCCTGCGTCTAAAACACGTACATCACAAAAAACTGTTTCATTAAAACCTTTTTAAAAAATCAAAAAACTGTGAAATCAAAATGGAACTTAACCAATAACGTTTTGATCAATAAAAAATCAACTCTACACAACGCAGGAGAACATTAGCAACGCGATAAATGAAAATTATATTGAATCAGTGAACAGACTGCAGTTTCAACTGCTTATAACTGGTGGTTGTCGTCAGGATGGGTGTCTGGATGTAAAAATTTCCACCAAATTATTCCATGCCAACAAAAGATAAATAACGGAGAAAAAATGTTTAAGCATGAAAAGTATGCAAAATAAAATAATGGTTTAAAAAGATAAATAAAATACTCAATTAATACTTAATAGACTGGTTCGTTAATCGGTTAAAAGACCTAGAAAATAAGTTTTAAATTTAAATGATTGATAAGGAAAAAGAAGACAGAATTGAGTAAGTTTATTTATTGAGTACTACTATATTTTAATATTTAACTGAATAATAAACTAAACTACTTATTAATTCGTTGGATATTATTACTAAGAGAATCGACGCTCGATTCGTATAAAACAAAAAAAACGTCGAAAACATATACAATGAACTGACACAAAATCCATATACAAAACACCAACATTGAAAACCAAAACTTCTCTCACAAATCACATTTTAAAAAACATCACCATATTTACCTTCTTCATCATTGAAATAGTAAATAACAGACATATACAAAGAATCGACATTCGTCTCAGATACAAAGAATCGACATTCGATTCAGATACAAAGAAACAACATTTGATTCATATACAAAGAATCGACATTCGATTCAGATACAAAGAATCGACATTCGATTCAGATACAAAGAATCGACATTCGATTCAGATACAAAGAATCGACATTCGATTCAGATACAAAGAATCGACATTCGATTCAGATACAAAGAATCGACATTCGATTCAGATACAAAGAATCGACATTCGATTCAGATACAAAGAATCAACATTCGATTCATATAAAAAAGAATCAACATTTGATTCCTAAACAAAGAACCAACATCTGAAAAAAAAAACACCAACATTCAAGACCAAAATTCTATTCATAAAACCCATTAATAAAATGTCATCTTCATTTCAACCATAATAATAAAAAAGCCATCACCATCATCATGGCTTCAATTGTAAATCGCATAACTGTCATCATAATCATCGTCTAAAGTCCAATTATAAATCGCATCCAAAAAACATCATAATTATTTTTATCATCATCTTCGTTATAACATTTAAAAAACATCACTATAACCATCTCCATCATCATCTTAAACCAATTTTAAAGCAAGTGAACAATCAATTTATCCACACCCACATAATGGCTTTTTCAAAAACTCATCCTTTTTCACTAGGCACGAAGTAGTACCCAGAGACTGTTTCTGAGGTAGAACTCGCTGACATTTCCAAATGTTTTTGAACTTCTGGTAAAAGATCATCTCCAGATGATGCTGTCGTTGTTGCTGGTGATGATCTTTTTCTTCTCTAGGACATATTAATAATTATATAATTATTAAAACTATCATATCTACAAATGACAAATGAGCCATACAATTCATGCATGCACCAGCATTCAATTTGCCTTTTTGAATGTTACATAATGTTCATTCATAAAGCTAAAAAAAATTATAATTCATATCAACATTGCAAAGGTAAATAGAAAGTTGTTAACTTGCAAACACACACAGAAAAACACCAACATACAATTAATATTTTTGAACTTACCAGTAATGGCAATAGATAGAATTAGAGAACAAACAAGAAAAAAACTATATACAAATAAATAACAATCTGGACAAAAAAAAGAAACATCAAAACACTGACATGATGCACAAAACACAAGAACAAAAAAAGAACAACAAAACAAGAAGCAAGATCTCACCCCTAACAACTCATGTCAATTGATTACACTCAGACTCTAACCTACCTATTATAAGCAATTGATTGAAACTCAAACTTACTTATTTTAAATTAACTCACCTAATAACTAAATATCCTTAAGAGTTGAAAGAATAAAAGACGAAAATACAAAACAAAGAAAAAACACAGTTGATGGGTTATGCATGTTGTGTAACTATGTTTGTGAAATGTATGAATGTAAATAATATTAAAAAAGTGTTAGTGTTAGTAAAAACAAAACCTCAACAAATAAACAAGCTAAGAATTGAAACAAGAAAAAACTTGTTGCAATTTTTTAAAATCATTGATACATTCAACAGCAAAACACATTCTCATATAAATCAACACAATTAACACATCAGAAACACAAAATTTAATTCAAACATTCAAGACCCAATACAGTAAAACTTATCTTTCAATCTTGGTCTATTGAAGTTGACTTAAATGGTAGAGCCCATCTTGGGCCTCCTGACACTGTGTACTGAGCTCTAGGTAAGCATTGAATCAAGCAGAAATATTAGTACTACTAAAAATAGTAGTAGTAAAAGTATTGTTATAATTAATAACTGTATCATACCTTTAGCCAGTTGATAAATATATTGCTAACAATTACATTTTGTTAACACTCCCATTAACATTAAACTTTATAAATGTATAAAATCACAAAACTATAAAAAAGGAAAGAAGCAGATATGAAAAAGCACACCACATTCATTTTTTATATTTATATAATTTTATATCAATTATTTAACAAAATTTCATTATACATCTCTAAAATAAATAACATCTTTTTAAGATTTAAGAAATATAAATGATAGAAAAATATCTTTTTTTTACAAATAATTAAAAATTATCTCAATGCATTGATGCTTAAAATTTCTAAAAACTTTATTTTTATTAAATTAAAAATAATGAAAATGATCTCAAAAAACAAAACAAGACTCAATAGTATTGTAAATTAATAAATAATAATAATGAAAACATGAAAATGAGGATGGGCTAATAAATCAAATCAAATGCTAAAAAACTCAAATTCAAGTTGTAAAATGTAAGTTGCTAACTGAAATAGAATTTTAAGAAAGCGTAATATTAAAACATGGCAATGGCGGTAAAGGCAGACGACAAGTAGCAAACGAAATGACGCACCTCACACGAAACTATAACTCAAATTTTAAATCCTCCATTTATGAATCAAATTAAATTGAAAAAACATCAAATCAAGTCGCGATGACTAAATATTTCAGACAAAATGGCGACGGAGCACTTCAAAAATCCTAAACTGCCAATAAAAATCGGCAAATTTTTATTCACAAACTTTAGTAAATCATCAAAGATTAAATTGTATTAAATTTTTAAGCATATTTAAATGAAAAAAATCATCAAATAGCAGATTCTTCTCGAAAAAATCAATGGCGGCAGAGACAGACGACACGTTGGAAGCGAAGAAACGGAGCAACCGACCTTTCCGGAAATCATGACTAGCGGACTGAAGAAACGCGGCTGAGCTGTTTCTTATATAGTGCGTCGCTCAAAAGTTATAGATAAGCTATAGAGCATGCGCCGACTTCAAGCTTTTTTGATCAAGCGCTTTTTTAACCGTTAAAAAGACTTATTTGGATTTGAAAATGACGATGACAAATTTTCACATATAAATATGTTATGTACAAAAACTTTACATATATGTGTGTATATTTGTGTCACTATATTTTCACTTTGATAGAAAATTTGATAGAAGGAATATTAATTTTTATATATTTTTTCTATGCTTTAATAAAATAATTTAAATATGGCTTAATTTTCCACTTGCCTTGTTTCGTCTAGCTAGCTGTCTTGCAGATAAAGAAGATTTCGGCTGATTAATAGCTTCGGATTAGGATAATGGTTGGTTTATGTGTATCATTTTAACGCTGGTAATCTCGGAGACGGCAAAGTGGTTTTTCCAGCAATATTTATTTATAGTCAACAGTTTAAACTTTAAAGAGACTCATAAGTTCCTCCCACGGTACAACTAAAAGTTAAACTAAATAATAAAAGCTTATAATAAAAGTTAAAAATAAAAATTTTAAACCAATTTTTACTAGAAAAACCACAAAATCTCTATAAAGTTATAAAAATATGATACATTACAAAATGTGTAACAAAATTTTAAACGTATCTGTTAAAAAGATAGTTTCACTTTTAAAACAAATTATTAATTTTTAGAAACTTGCTTCCAGAGGTAACTTGCCTTTGAAAAAAAATTTTCAATGTTAAAACGCTGGTAGGGCGCTTCCAGTTATATAATTCCATGATTTTTACTTCATAATCGGCGGATAGATCTATTTAGTTTTAGAAATTGAACTATAACATTATGTTGTATGAATTATTCTTTTCTTCGTTAAACGTTTTTCATCCATGTTTTTCAATTTTAAAGTCATTAACATTTAAAAATTAAAATTCTTCAAAAAACCGCTTATTTTTTTAAATCTTTACTTCATAACCGGCGGGTAGATCTATTTAGTTTTAGAAATTGAACTATAACATTTCTCAACGGGTACAAAGCAAGGGGAGGCCTATTTACCAGCATACAACACCTTCTTATGAGTTGAAGCAGAGATATGCAAAGAACCTCAATTTTTTCAACTTTTAATTATTTTCAGTAATGTCTCCCCTTGCTCCAAACCACATAACTAGAATAATAGGACTAATCGATCAATTCGATCTATCGGTCGGGCTATTTGTCGTGCTTGGATTGTTGGCTTACGAAATTGCATGGATTTTAACGAGCAAGCTAAATGAGATATTTACTTGATTTAATATGCTTAAAACATTGTAGTAATTCTATTTAATTTTAATAATGATTAATAGAATTATGTATTATTAAATTATTTTTGTTAATTTGAATATAAAAATTGCTTTTGGTCCGGTGAAATCCGGTGGCTTACTGAAGCCGAAGGTTGGCTTAGTAGGATTGAACTATAGTCACCCTTTTTTTTACACCATTCGATCATGTTAAAAATTGGTTTGCTTATGAAATAAACGGCCTAAATAAATCAAAATTGTTATTTGAACAACTATCTTCATTATATTCAATGAATATTTTACATTCTGCTGGTGCTCATAAGAAACTGGCTGCTGAAATCATACCTTAGCTTACAGCAGTGGCTTACAGGGTTTCATAGAACTCTTACGATAGCACTTTTTTGTACATATAATGCTTTAAATAAACCAATATATTCATATCACAATTATTTTTGTCAATATAAATATAGAAATTGCTAAATATAAAAATAAATATAAAATCTTACGATAGCACTTTTTTGTACATATAATGCTTTAAATAAACCAATATATTCATATCACAATTATTTTTGTCAATATAAATATAGAAATTGCTTTTGTCAGGTGAAAAACAGTGACTTACTGAAGCCGTAGGTTGGCTTAATCGGATTTTTTCTCATGTATACAATACCATGAGATAAATCAATCAAACAATCAGTCAGTCGGTCGGTCGGTCAGCCAGCCAGCCAGTCAGTCATATATGTATATATATATATATATATGTATATATATATATATATATATATATATAAAGTAAGAAAGAGTGAGAGAGAGAGAGAGAATGAGACAAGGGGTATGCGTAAAAAATAACGTTTCAATAAATAGATAAAAATGTACAATACACATACACGCACACACACACACACAAACAAACACACACACACACACATATATATATATATATATATATATATATATAACGCTTGTATTAAAAGAAGAATGCAAGCTTTTGAAATGCATAATGAGAACAAATATTTTTATTTCGTTGCTGTTGTAATTATTATTATATTGTTGTTCGTTGATGATGGTTATGATGATGATGATCGTCATCATAGTTAATTAGATTAACAGTATAACATACTTAAAATACATTGACAGAAATGACATGAATGTTTATTGTACTGCGTATATATGATGGCAGTATGTATGTATGCGTGTATGTATGTATGTATGTATGTATGTATGTTTGTATGTATGTGTGTCTGTGTCTCTTTGTGTACATGTTTGTATTCGAGATTTTAGTAAGAAAAGAAAAACACAACAGTTGCTTTTATTTGA